GAAGTAGATAGTTTTACTCATCTCAGTGATGAGAGGTGAGTCCATAGTGGGAAAGTAGAGTGGAAGATTTGTTGATATCAAGGTATCACCATTTCTAGCCCTGGTAGATCCCTTCCAACAGCCTCGAGAAATAAGGGCAAAGGTACCATGAAATTCTTTTGGCAGCACAGGACGGAGATCATGCTCTTGTACAGACATATACACAGTGGCTGGTGGCTTAACAGGCATGTGTAGAGGAAACTTGTCACAAAATTCATGTGCACGTTCTGCATCGTCTCTAGAGGCGTTCCCGTTTCTCGACGATAAGAAGCCTAATGTTGGCGGTGGTGGAAAAGCAGCCGTATCAGGCATAGCTGCGTGCCAGTTAAGGTACGGAGGAGGTTTTGGTCCGTAATTAGCGACTTCTTGACCATCAGTTGGTGACGCTTTCAGCCCATCCTGAATCTTATTCGCCATTTTATGTTGATAACATAGGCTTGTGCAAGAAACAACAAAAAATTGAAGTGGGTATAACAGTGCAATCGTTTTCGTTTTATTTTTTTTATTTTTTTTGTTCAGTGTGCAGCTAGTTGAAACCGTTCCTTAAGTGTGGTTGTGACAGAGAGTTACAGTTAGTCGTAACACAGTCGCGGGGTTTTAGGATGCCGAGCAGTCTTTAGAATAGCTGAGGCCTTTAGTGGCAACCTATAATGCTAGGTAGATGCCAAGGAATGATTTTTTACGTGAAGTCGCTAGTTATTACACATTGACCTGGGCAGAACCATGGCTTGTACCATATAACCATGGCTCAAGCTTTTGACCAAGCAAGGTCCATGAACTACTCGATCCCTTGTCATAAACATAAACTCTTAGAGCTATGCGTCCCGTCTTGCCCATACAGATTAGAAGAAACAGTACTGGATGTAGATCACTTAAAGACAGGCGCTATATTAACGGTAGAAATTTAAACCTCTTATGTTATCTGACTGGTACATTATATAAGAGTCGGGTCGTCAAACAAGGGGAGAGATGTCTTTATCGATAACATCACCATAGTTTATCATTGTAGTGAAAACCCCACATTGGCTTGATTTAATTTATCAGCGAAAGCATATAAGTGACAGGAGTCTCTACTTACCTATGGCATGAATAAAGTCCCAGTTGCACCTGAAGGTGCTTAGTATGCGAGTGGAACCAGAAGCCAATCAAATGGGTAATAAACACAGCAGGCGGATGTAGGAATGATTACGGGATACTAGTAATCCGCTTGTTTTCCCCCTCAGGGTAGAAAAAATAAAAATAAAACAAAAACAGAGAGGCCTGGCGGCTTTGAGCCCAATGCAATGGCCAATGCGACAGTGGCAGCCACAATACTACTATAATTCAATTGAGGGCTGATTCTTCTATTTGACCCTCACTCTCGCTCTATCTTGATTCTAAATTTTCAGTTGATAACTATATGTGACCTATACTATGGCTCTTTCAAACCTTAAGACAACTCGAATGGATCTCTAGGAGGTAGCATTGTGCCTTTTCCACTTACCACCCATGTCGCAAGTTCCCATATTCATGATTGTCATAGACAACTCCAGGGCGAAAGACATCCTGTCTGCACTGTCTTGCGAATACATGCAAGTATACTAGCACGAACAAACCCACTGTGATATTATCCAAAAAAATGGATCAGAGCACAAGACCGCGTAGGCCATCGCTTACACAACATCTGCAGCGTATACTGCACATTGATGGCCATGGAAATGTAAGCCACTTCAATAATCCTTTGTCTTACATTCTACTGTACCACCCAACACTCTAAGACGAGCGCTCCTGTTGATTCTTGGAAACAGAGGAATAGCAGTAACTCACAGGTTTCATCAGATGCGGGACTTACGGCTTCACCCCAGCAACAACGGTTCACACAACAGAGGGCACAAGAACCTCAAAGTTATCTTGATGTGAATGAAGAACCATCTCATACTCACACCAGGAATCCTACCTCCTATTCTTATACATCATTGGGCTCGAGGCATACCCCTGTGGATGGAGAACATCCTGAAAGAGTTTTAAAATCGTCAGCTCATGGGATTTCTTTCCAAAAACAAGCATCGTGTACGCCTGAGGAAACGCCGACAAAATCTGATATTTATATTTCACCCACGAGGACCAGCAATTCCGCCCTGAGAAATGAGAGGCGGGCTACACTGCGACTAGAGGCAGAGAGGGTAGAGCTCGAGAAAAAACTAATGAAGCTTGAGCAAGCGGAATCAGCTAAGGATTCTGGCTCAATGAGACGGGAACCACGCCGTCTCACCAAAAAGCAGCCATTTAGCAGCTCTAGAGCCTCAAGTGTAAGTGCAGACGAACCTAGGACCCCCAGGCGAATTTCTTCGATTTTTTCAAGTTCGAGGCGCTCATCAAGATCGCGATCAAGCTCTTTAAACGAGGATGATAAAGGCGTCTTAAGACCTCAGTCGCTTGGACCTGAAGGAACACCAAAGTTCGATCACAGCACTCAAGCTGCCACACGTACTCTATCCACAACCTTGCCTGAACGCCTCAGCACAGCAATCTCCAAGGAGCTAGCTGTCCAAAGCAACCCGCTACTTGCAAATCATACATCATCCCTACGATCACAAAAGTTATCGTACTCAGAAGGAGCCATGGCAGTTGGTCAAGGGACTGAGAGCAATAAGAGTTTCGATAAAATTGAGGCAGGTCCCTCTCATGTGCAGGGGCCCAAAAAGCTTAGGCATGAGCCAACTGAACAAGTTGCTCCCATATCGATGTCCATATCCCACATACAACAAGTTTCAGATCCTTCAGAACTAGATCGTTCATCATTTGCTGCAGCATTGAACCTCAGGAAAAGGATCTCTGACAAAGCACAGTTACATGGGCGTCTCTCACAGCCCACGCACTTTCAAAGTAATACAACACAAGAAGAGAACCAACATGAACTAGGCGCCAATGGTTTCTCGAGGAAAACATCAGCATCTGTCATACCCTTGAGTACTAACCATCCTGGCGTTCGAAAATCTCTTATTTCCTTCCAATTAGGCTCGTCAAGGAGCGTACCAGTTAGAACACCACGAGGGAAAACTCAGGGACGTCACAAGGATTTCACATCGTCTCCGCTTGCAGGCTTCTCAACAACGAAGAACGCCGCTTTTCAACCTCTCGGCGCCGTTCCAACTGAACAAGCATCCGCAAGTTTTGATGGCTTGTGCTACACGGAGCCTTCTGCATTCTCCAAGATGAATTCCTCTTCCAATACAAATCCACCACTCCCTATGACTTCATTACGATTGTCGAACGAAGATGGCAGAGAACACAGACACATTCCAAGCAGTTCTCTTGGCTTCACGAGCATATCCAAGGAGAGGCCACGGACCCGTGTACCGAATAGTTCGTGGTTATCAGATCATAGCCCTAAGCTGCATTCTAGTCCAGCAATCCCCAATGCTAAGCCAAAAGGGCTTTCCGCTTTTAATCAGGGAGTGCAGCATGCATTTGGGCCTGTAAAATCACATGATCAAGCTTCGCCTGGCAATGCACTCGAAAATCACTCACAGAACCGCTCAGCGAGATCTGGGAGCCAAGATTGGGGTATTGCAGCACAAACGGGGCTGGAAGGAGGAAACATCTCCATATACTCGTGTGATTTCGACTCTAGTGGTCGAGGGGAGCCCTCACTACCCAAGGGTGGCTCAACAGGCGCCTTGGATTACAGGATAAGACGTTCAACCGTTTCGTTGTCGGCTAGCTTGTCCCAGGATCCAGAATCAGAGGAGTACAATACCGCAGATGAAGCTGCGTCGATTGCTTCAAAGGCGCAAAGCGAGGAATCTATTCCGGCCAAGCAACTAGATATTACCTCTGTTCCTGCCGGTCTTAGCAGCTTTTCTAATAATGGCTCGCCCTTCGGACTTCATCATGCCTCCCAAGCTGTGCACCCTGACACACCAGCCCTCCGGACAGAACAAGTTGGAGAAAATTCAAAACAGCTTCGGCGAGGCCAATTGGTCGCGAAGCTCTTCGTCATTTGCTGCAATTGCGAGTTCTGGCACGACGTGCCGTCCGAGATATATGCAAAATTAGCTTTCCCCGCCAGTCCTTCTGCTCCTGCAAGCTACAGCCCTGCATCTGTGGTAGGAAGATCACGCTTGGACGATCAAGCATTATCTAAAGCGCAAATAGGCGCTGTGTCAGGTTCACCCATACAATTATCAAATGAAAAGCTTGCTAGTCCGAGGAACATCTCTGCATCGAAAACTACAGCGCAGTTTCCTAGCCCTGTCGTTCCATGCTGCTGGTGTGAACATGACATGAGCAGAGTGTGTTGTCAAGGATGGAGCACGGTTGTTGATTTGCGCGAGAGACACCATTAAAGTAGTAATGTCCCTCCCGCCAAGACAGTTACTTGTCTCGCAATAAATGTGAGGTAGACTACAGCTATATTTGTTAAATCATCTTCATTGACTTGTCTAACATAGCTTATCATTTCAGTTGTTGTGCAGAATTTTATAATGCTCAAGAATTTATATTTTATCTGTGGGTGAATCAATTCCCTTCCTCACTGATTTCATTTTGCTTCCTCTTTTTATTTATCTATTTTCCCCCCCTCTCTGTTGCCCTTCCCATTCCCCCGGGAAACTAACGATTTATTTAAGAAAGGGTGAGCGAATTAGATTGCTGCTCACATAAGGTGTGGAATAACTTTGATTAATTCACATTGAACTTTAGCATGGGAGGGGCAGCTGAGATTCACCTCTGAAGAGGTAATATACTGGTAAGCCAAAGAAGGATACTTGTGCTTGTATTATCTGGAATTATTGTAGCCCATGTACATTTGCAGACACAGTTATTAAGGCGTGAAGTGAAGAATTGCCTGTGAATTACTGTCTGGACCTACAATGTACTAGGAAGTCGTCGCAATTCAGTGGTGGAGACCTCCCTACGTACTAGTAAGTTGTGTGGCTAAAGGCGGCATCCACATAACAGGCATCGCAATTACTTACAAGAGCCAAGGAGTCTAGTAACTCCTCATCTCCCAGTTCCCTCCCTAAAGTAGCATTTCCTATGGCCAATTTTAATGACCATGGTACGCAAAAGAGGATTCTCCAATACTTCTTCGACCTCCTCTCTTCCAGAGGGAAATCAGGTATGTCCGCAACTTAACCGCACTGCGTGTTCCTGTATTCTATCCTCTGGCGCGCGCTGTCCCTTCGCATTTGTCAGTAACTATTGGCTGATGCCGACTAGGAACTAGAGAGTATGTACGACTACCTAGCAAAGGTTATTCTTCTCGGTCCAAGTGGTGCTGGAAAGTAAGTTTCCCTGGGAAATGGGCTTCCTAGCCTTCCACTGACATCTGGAAATGCAGGTCTTGTGTGCTCCACCGATTTGTGAAGAACGAATGTACGGCTGCGACTTCTGATTAAACCTGCTTCATACCTTGATCTCCCCCTGAGCTGGATAGCCGGCTCGCTAATACAACATGCACCTATAGGGAGAGTGCTATCGTCGCAAACGATCGGCGTCGAATTCTCCTCGAGAATCGTTAAGCTAGGAATCGGCCCTCGGCGGACAAGGATAAAGCTACAACTTTGGGATACTGCAGGTACCGAAAGGTTCCGTTCCGTCTCAAGATCTTATTATCGGGGAGCGGCGGGGGCTATTCTTATCTACGATGTATCATCTCATACCTCATTTGCGTCCCTTCCTACTTTCCTCATGGATGCGCGTGCTCTTGCATCCCCCAATCTAACTGTGTTACTGGCCGGGAATAAAATGGATCTCTCATCCGACATCTCGCTCCATGGTGACTCCACCGAGGACGCCACTCGGCCTCCCCCAACACCGTCCAGCACTTCCAGCAAGCAGTCTGCCTTTGCATTCGGCTCGGTTGGCGGTTCTGTCCGCTCTACAAACCATCTAGCGACTGGGACGCGCATGACCGCTACATATGCTCCCCATGGCCGTGAAGTATGCTTTGAAGAATCCTCCCGGTGGGCTGCGAAGTCAAACATCCCCGTTGCCGTTGAAGTTTCGGCCCTCACTGGAGAGGGTGTGGAGGAACTGTTCAACCGGCTGGCCAGAATCATCTTAACTAAAATTGAACTTGGTGAAATCGATCCTGACGATCCTCAGAGCGGTATTCAATATGGCGACGGTGGTCTTTATGGCCATGGAACAAGCGATGGCTCCAGCATACGGAGCCGGATGACTCTCGATGACAGCGCAGTCCAACTGCACAATCGGAACCCTAGAAGTGCAAGTAGGTGGAAAACTGGCATGAGAGAATGGGAGGATGTTTTCCGGTTGAGCGGCCCACATGATAAGAACGGCGAAGGGTGTTGCTGATCTGTTGATCTTGCTCTTTTATCGTCCCCTTTGAACTGCAGCTTTCCCTTGCTTTCACCGCTTACATCTCATTCTCTCTCTTTTGCGAGGTTGGTATAGTTGTCTCAGATTACACATACCCTAGAACAGGTAAGGTATGATCGTATCTTTGTTTGATTGCCCGATTGCTTGCTGTATATGCCGTCTTCTTTTCACCTTCCTTTCCTTACCCGGGTATGTTCACTAAGTGCTATCTCTTGCTCTTTTGCCATGGCACTCCGTGTAATAGGAACACTCCTTTCGATAATTGTATAGCACGATACCCCTGATGGTTTTATCTTTTGTTGGTATTAAACGATTTTATTCTACACTACTTTATCTACGGAATTTCCAGGTCCTCCAACCAAAACGCCAGCTTTTCAGTAACCCACTAATTCCCCCCCCCTTAAGATACTGCACAATGGAACGAGATTTATACAAGCCACCGCGGAAAACAACCCACTTTAGTGTGCATATTCTCTAGAGTTACGTCAAGTAACATCCCCTTCACCCCAAAGCCAAATTATAAAGTAAAATAATAACAGATTAGATTTTCTTATGTCATATCTAATCATTTCCGAATAGAATTTATACATCAACGCCAGCAATAAGTGTCTTGATACCCTTCCCAGCTTTGACTTCTTGAAAAGCTTGTTCCGCGTCTTCAAAATTGACGACTCCGGTGATTAGTTCCTTTACGCTAACCTTTCCTGAAGCTACTAGGTTAACTGCAAGCTTATAATCACCGCTGCCGTAACGGAAACTGCCCCTGACATTCAATTCTTTCGTGCAAGCCGCCATGATGGGAAATGTGATTTCATTTTTTCCCATACCACCTTGCACGTAAGTGCCACCGGGACGAAGGACATGAATGCCTGTATGAACTGAGGGCTCAGCACCTGATGCGTCAATAACGATATCCGCTCCAGGGCCGAGATCATTTTCATTGACAATTCGGTTTGCATTTTCTAACGCAGGAACCTTGCTGGGTTCGAAGGTTGCTGTTGCAGCATATTTCTTCGCAAATTCCAGCCTTCCTTTTTGGATGTCCACAGCGATGACCTTCGGGGAGCCAAAAGCCCTAGCCACCGCGCAGCACAATAATCCCACCGGCCCGGCACCGAAGACTACCACTGATTGTCCTGGCGCAACGTTCGCTTGCTTTACAATATGCACAGCGACACTGAGAGGCTCCATCACTGCAGCCTCTTGAAGATTGATGTTTTCAGGAAGCTTGTAGCAGAAGTCCTCGGGTAAAACATAGTACTTGGCTAGCGTACCGTCGTACGGTGGCGTTGCGGCGAAGGCCATTTTTTCGCATAGGTTATACTTGCCTGCCTTACAGGGCTCACACCGGCGACACGGTATACCAGGCTCCATAGCAACGTGATCCCCCACCTTTAATGTTGTAACAGCCGAGCCGACCTTGCTGATTACGCCAGAGGATTCGTGTCCTAGTACCATAGGATCTTTGACGACAAATTGACCAATTGAGCCATGTTCCCAGTAGTGAACCTGGTATTTTCAATCCCAAGTCAGCAACTCAGTTTTTGGATTTCCCAGTGGGCAAACTCGTCACATACGTCACTACCGCAAATACCGGTAAACCTGACATTCACAAGAACGTCATGAGCATCTCTCAGCTCAGGGATTGGTCGGTCTTCGAATTTGATCTTATGAATCCCTTCGAGGACAAAGGACAAGTTCTGAAAAAAAAAAAAAAAAGGCCATATTCAGCTTTCCTATTGATATGAGTGGGTAATGGGGAAAGGTTATGGCTTTACTCATACGCACCTGAGCGGTCCTGGGTTGCGCATCCATTTTTAGCACTTCTTGTTTGGCTAAGTGAAAGAGGAAGGTGCGATAGAATGAGAGGAGAAATTGAGAATGATAAGTTTCTAAAAGTTAAAGTTGAAGGGGCATGGGGACGGGCCTAATGTTATCTTAAATATAGTGAGGTAGTATGACTGAGTGGGCAGACGGGCCTGCAAAGTGGGATGAAATGGGATGGGATGGTGCTGTGGGTAATGGTTTAATTCAATAAGAAGGCAGCCAACAGACTGGTCTGGATCAAAGTACTCTTCTATCTTCCCTTAGGATAGTTCTCATGATGGTTGTCCCTCTCCTCCCCCACTAACCAGCTGGACGAGTGGGGCGACTCTTATGTCATTGGCCAATATTCCCCAGCTTTCTACCTTTAAAGCTGATGGAATTTAACCGCTGGTTCATTTCATTTTAACCGGTTTCGATAGGTCTGTCAATCGGGAAATTAAAGCAGACAACTTAACCATCCATTGAGAAACCGATACACAAAACTGCCATCCGTACCTAATTTTATGATACATAGCGTTGTTTCTTAAGGTTCTATTCCGTACATATACACCACACCTACTTACCAACTAATACTGGCACGAGTGTACCTGTACATACCTATTTTTTTTTTTTTTTTTACCATATGTAGGTAGCATTTGTCTATTTCTCCCTTTTCTTCCTCGCAGGTTCTACTCTGCATTGCCAATACGGCTCTCCAGTTACTGTCTATTTAACCATAGAACTAGACTTGTTAAAAGTAGAGAGACTTGTTTCGTCACGGAATTGATGAACGTATCGTGTAAGGAATATCTCCCTCTACTATCTACTCGATAGCTGTACCTGCTGACTTGCTGTTCATACTAATATCAAAAGTCTGCGTAGCGGAAATGATGATCATGCCAAGACCACCTTACCATAATAAGTAATTAAAACTAAACTCCATAATCCCAGGGAAGCTATCAACTATCCATCAGTCCAAGTTGTCCATGCATTCGTCGGACTATGATTTGACAGAAATTCGAAAACCTTTCGGCGAGATTTAGTCTGAGATACTGTTGTTACAGTGCTCAACTATCTAGTAGACATGATCCGATCCAATGCCCTTCCCTTGAGGGGTACGTTACGCGCGTTGCAGCCGAGAATTAACTACCGCCTAACCGCTGCGCAACTACAAAGGCATTACCGGGTCTCTGCTCGGGTTTATGAGAGTGGACGACCTCAGTCCTTCAAGAACCAGTTATATGAGAGTACACAGCAGCGGCTGAAGCGTGAGCGCGCCGAGCAAGAGCGTTACGCACAATATCAGACTCAGTCGCAGGGAGGTCGCTATACAGCTCTAACATTCGGTATGTCCCTACTAAGACCCCGTTCGAAAATTATTACAAAAACCCTATCCAACATGCCGCTAATCCCACTATGTTAGCTCTGGTGTTCTTCTCTACAGGAGCCTATTTCCTAGGGACTCTGAAGCCGCCGAGTCTTCCGGCGTCATCAACAACGAACATTCTCGAATTAGAGCCACCGCGTCACAATATCTCTCAGTCAAACCTCCAGGCCGCATGGGCGGACTTCGTTGATATAATAGGGAAAGAAAACGTTTCTACAGAGAATGGGGACTTGGAAATACATTCAGGATCAGACTGGTCTTCCTATTCTCGGAAGGAAACCGAAAAGCCTTTCCTTATCCTCTACCCGTCGACCACGGAAGAAGTTTCTCAGATAATGAGGGTTTGCCATCGGCGACTTATTCCAGTGACACCGTACTCAGGTGGCACTAGTCTAGAGGGACATTTCGCATCCACCCGCGGCGGCGTGTGTATCGATTTCCGCCGCATGGACCGCGTTTTGGCAGTTCACAAAGAAGACCTTGACGTAGTGGTGCAGCCTGCTCTTGGTTGGGAAGAGCTAAATGAGCAGATTTCGCAAGATGGTCTATTTTTCCCACCCGATCCTGGCCCTGGTGCCATGATAGGTGGTATGGTAGGCACTGGCTGCTCAGGGACGAATGCCTATAGGTACGGTACAATGCGGGAATGGGTCCTATCTCTGACTGTAGTTCTTGCGGATGGCACTATCATCAAGACAAGACAGCGACCGCGGAAGTCGAGTGCTGGTTATGATCTTACCAGGCTCTTTATTGGGAGCGAAGGGACCCTTGGACTTGTTACAGAAGCAACGTTGAAATTGACAGTCAAACCTAAGAGTCAGAGCGTCGCTGTTGCAAGCTTCCCGACGATTCAAGATGCTGCAAAATGCGTGGCACGTGTGGTGGAAGATGGTATCCCGGTTGCCGGTGTGGAAATTCTAGATGATGTGCAAATGAAATGTATAAATGACAGCGAAACAACTAGTCGGCGGTGGAAAGAATCACCCACCTTGTTCTTCAAGTTTACAGGGACGCCCATCGGTGTCAACGAGCAGGTAGGTACGGTACGACAGATCGTTTCTTCCAATGCGGGCCAATCCTTTGAGTTTGCCCGCAACGACGATGAGATGAGAGAGCTGTGGAGTGCCCGAAAACAAGCTCTCTGGAGCGTAATGTCGATGAGGCGAGGCCCAGAAGACCACGTTTGGACTACTGATGTGGCAGTGCCCATGAGTCAACTGCCCAACATCATCGACGCAACGAAGCAAGACATGACCCAAAGTCGGCTGTTGGCAGGAATATGTGGTCACGTTGGGGATGGTAATTTTCACGGTAAGAAGGCCCTCTGCTCGCTCACGGCTCCTGTACTTACTTCATTTTTATAGCCATTATTCTATTCAATGAGAACGAGAGAAAAACTGCGGAAGCTGTTGTTCACCGAATGGTGAAGCGAGCAGTAGAGTTGGAAGGCACTGTCACAGGTGAACATGGTGTTGGTCTCATTAAACGTGATTACCTCGAACATGAACTGGGCGAGTCCACGGTGGATGCGATGCGGCGGGTAGGTTTGCACAAATTTGAGCGTTGCCCCCCAGATCATAGTTTCATGTTGTCATAAGTTCAGAATGCTAATGCTATAGCAACCTTCGCAGCTAAAACTAGCGTTTGATCCGCTTTGTTTGCTTAATTGCGACAAAATCGTTCGAGTTGAGCAGCCGATGCCAGAAGAGGTTAAGACATGGTGATTGTGCGTTGTTGAACACAACAATGTAGAGAAGCTGGGAATGGGCGGGGGCGAAGCTGACCGTGTAACAGCTCTGATTTGTCGCCATTCTACTTGCAAAGAAGAGAAAGAATAAGGCCCAGCAGGCCGTCCACCAATAGAATCTGATCAAAACAATAGTAGTTTGCAGATAATTCTCGACTGCCGTCATATTCAATATCCATAACCCTTCGACTGTGTATCATAACGCCGTCAATGTCTGTACTGTCGTTCCATGTAGTCATCGCTTTTGCTACTGTAGTGGTCTGCACCATACTCCTCTGGAGACATCTATTCATCGCCTCTAGCTCCACTGTAGCCTTCCCAGTGTCATTGTGCCGGGCACGGAATCTTTTGGGGTCAATTATCAATACCAGAACATGTAAAACGCATGGGAACATGCACCTGGCCGAGGATCTACTTGCTGGTAAGGCTTATCATTTTCATGGCTTTGCATCTCCGCGTCCGCATACTGGGGACGGCTGTCAATCATAATCCGGCTCAGCAGGATCATCACCATGCTCATTGCGTACAGGGCGGTTGCCGTAACCATAGCGATGTTCTCCATTGCCATCGCTATACTCATTCAGTCCAAATCTGTAGGTTTCCTCCGAATTATATCCATAAGTCTGGCCGTTGCTACCCAACGAAGACACGTAGTGATCATACTCGTTTCGTTTCTGATTTTCTAAGGCGCTCCACTGATTCATGTTCATAGTTCCAATGGTCTCCACGCCACTTTTCATCGTAATTTTCGTGTCTAACCTTCCAGGGTGGGCGCTGTTCTTCAAGTGATGCTTCCTCGTGGTATGGTTCCTGGTATCCATATTGATATTGCTCCCCTCGATTATCAAGCCCTCCATGACTTTCGTATCTGTCCACCATGACTGCATCGACTGGAGAGTGTGACTCGGGATCTTTCAATAGCATAGACCCAACACTACTTACAAGGCCGCTGACTAGGCCCCTGAGTGTTCCGTCACCAGCAGCGGCGGCCGCAGCTTCCCCCAAGCTAATATTAGATCCGCTGGGTTCAAAGGGGTTGCCATGGCCGCCTTTGCGTAACGCAAGTGGCTTACCGCAGCCATGACCGGTGTCGTGCACACCTTCCTTATGGTTTTTGCCTTCAAATACGCCTTGGCGGGTGAGCTGTCCGCGCAGGTACTCCGCTCTTCCTCAGTCTTGCCATGCTACGATTCCTCGACTGTATGGAACATGATCTGGCGTACATCGGCTGCACCATCTTCTCCAGATTCACGAAGGGCAGGGCGATAGAACACGCCCACGATTATTCTGTCCAAAGTTTTTGTGATATCAATTTCTTCACTATCCCAGCACTCCATGAGCTGTGGCACAGTCCACTTGATAATTTGGGAGGCTACCCGACCTGCTGGTTCGTTAAGAACGTTTGAGAAATGATCCTTAGAAAGCATAGAATGGGTGGGGTTCGATGATTCATCGTTTTCAAAGACAATGTGCTGTTGCTCCCTGCTACTTTGAATAATCTTGGAGGAGCCAGTTTGAAGCTCCACCCTCTACTTGCTTGATAATAGGGAGCACGTAGGGTGCCAGAACAGAGAAAACGAAGACCTTTATGTGATCTTGAATTTGCTCCACCATTCTGGTAGAACAGGTATTTTCTCGATAGCAGTGTTGATCGACTTTGTAATCTCATCATGCCACTCCAACAAGGGGTGGATTTGCCGATGCACCCCTTCCAGGTAGCAGGTCCATTCTTCTGGCTCACGCGGCGATACATCTTGGCTTTGTTTCTTAGCATTCTCTGACTGTGTCCTGAATTCTTCCATTTGAGTTGCCTGAGCTTCACTGTCGTCTACTAATCCAGCAGGGATCATGCTGAGAAGATCCTGTACGAAGCTCTCAGAGGGCGAACGACTTTGTGAATCAGTAATGACACCTTCCAAAGATTGGATTTCAGACTGTGCGACCTTATCCGAAAGCTCACCTAAAACGGAGTGAAAAAAGTCCCCCCCGCCGAAAGTGCCGGTAACAACAGGGTAGACGTCATTCTCCGCACCATGGAGCTCAAATTTTGTATTACGACCGACATGTGGGAAAAGATCTGTTTCACCCATCTCAATAAGACTCAGCTCTGTATAGTTTGAATGTCTGCATAGTCCTCCAGGCAATACAAGCCAGTTCCGAGAAGACGAAAAGCTTCATGCAGGTCTTCATCGTTCCGCGTTCTCGCGGCCTAGCTGAATCGAACGACGGAAGACACGCCGTACAAGACCTGCAGATGTAGCAATACCAATATCCTCTGTCGCTATATAAGTTTTTAAACCTAACCGTGGTAACCAACAAAAGACTCAGTATGTTATGTGTTATACAGCAGAATAGCATGGAGGGTGATCCAACATACCTGTCATAGGATCAACTGACGGCTCATGCTCCTCATCAACTGGACCCCTGAGACGATGATCGTAATCCCGAGCATCCTCCCCTTCAGCATAACCGAGAGGATTGTCTATATGCTCTGTAGGCTCATAGCAAACTAGACGTTCTGTAGTCACCTCAAACTCCTTGGTCCCATATCTAGGGCACAACGTCAGTTCCTAGCACTAGCATAGTGGGAGAACTCAGTAGCTTGCCCAAAACTCATAAATCCGAGCACCCAAATCAGGATGCGGATTGCTTCAGCGCTTACATATTTCAAAGTACCGACATCAACAGCCTGGCTGTAGTCGCGAAGCCAGATCCCAAAATAGACAGAAACAGAGTCAACAGCGCGTCTTCGATAGTCACCATGACGCCAGTTCTGGTCTTCAATGCGGGATATTGATGCAATATTACCCGCCCCAAAAGCGTGGGCTTGCCCCGAGAATGCGAGGGCAAGCGAGAGAAGAAAACATAGGTTTTAGACAGTGCCAGACATGGTACTTCTGTTCTAACCTTAAATGACAATACTAGCAGTCTACGGAGAAGAGAAGGCAAATCGCAGAGAGCCCAGCTAGGCCATGAAAACCAAGGGTTAGGGTAATGTAGTCCCAGCTCCCTTGGCCCTTCGACTACAGTCTCACACTACCATTGCCAACTTGCCAAGGATGATTATATTATCATATTGTATCAGTAATAGTATGAGTGTGAACAATTCGTCTTACACCGACAAGACGGGACCATCTTGGCAGCAGACATGACTAGCCATCGATGATCTCTAGGTCTCTTCTCCACCCTTGGCCTATTCTGTCCGTGGTTTCATTGAAGATACTGATGGATTTGAACGGGCTGAGGAGGAAGGATAGAGATTCTAACCCAGTTATCATTTTGAATGTGATCAATAACAATACAACATACAGTGTGTGGTATTTGAGATTTGGAACACCTCGCCCGTGCATCACTGTTACCGCCTAAATAAGAACCAATAATCTATGATGTACAGATTATACACCTATAAAAGTAGGGAATTGTTATTTGGACCTCACATTAAGCCTATATCAGTGGCGGTTCCGAACACCCACCGGAAGGCGAGTCATATAATTAAAATACACGCTAGTAAACCTCTTTCAAATATAATATCCTATACAAACCAACATAGATCGGTATACTATAAAAAATATTCAGAATAAATTTTTTTTTTTAAAGAGAAAATTAATTATTTTTAATATTAACAATATACTAATTAATAGCTAAGGATGTCTCTATTTATTTTCTAGATTAGGTAAGTAGCGAGGCTACTATAAATCGTTGAAAAGGCAATGGATATAGATACTGATATCGCCGGTCAGCCGCTCTTAGAGAGAGGGCCCGGGAGAGAGAGAGAAGGCAGTTCTACATTCCTATTCTAGAATAGTCCCGCTTAACTAGTAGTATTACCAATACATAGTATTATGCCTTCCTATATAGGCTTAGCGTAAGGTCCAAATAATAATTCCCTAAAAGTAGGCGATTGTCAGCAGATACGCTATACCATATTAGGGTGCTCCAAATTTCATGAATTGCTCCCACTGTAGTAGAAAAATTATAAGGGAGAAGCTGGTTAATTATTCTGAGCTAAGAGCTATCTAGTATCTTCTGCTAAAACACCCCTAGCTAGGCGTTAGCTTCTATCCACCTCCTTCCTTGTTCTTTAGTTCTTTGTCTGCTGGATCATGCCACCTACGCTGTGGATATCCTACCTAAAGCGGTAATATGGGCGAATATTTGGGCAGTCATATTCAAAATATAGTGTTATTGTATGTAGCACCGATTCAGACCCCTCAAAGTATGACTGTTCTAAAATATACCTTTGTCGGTATGAAGTGCATCTAACATCTCATAAACTACAGCAGAAACAACTACGCTGTAGCCGCCAAAAAGGCTTCGCTGATCTATGAGTGTGCTGGGAGCAAGTTGTCAGTTTAGATTGTGTATTTACACCGGGGTATGTAGAAATCTTCAGAAAATGATATCCAATATCGTGATTTCACCTATGTGCTATAATATTTATACGTGTACAGATTCGAAGGGTCTCTAACTGGAGAGAAAAGATATTACTAACAATAACAATCGGAGAGGGTTAGAGAAGGCGAGGAGGGAAGGAAAAGATGGTAACGGTAATGGCATTGAAAAGTAATGATAGTCATAACAAGAATCGGCTAGGCTTACCAACAATAGCAGAGGACGTTCATGCCTACCTAGGCCAAGTTAAAAGCCAACCATGAATATATCCTACAAGAGTAATTGACGCAGCCTCTTATACCTGGTAAGGGGTTAAAGCTAAACTTAAAAGAAACCTAGGCCAGTGATATGCTGCAGTACTACTCCGTACTGTACTCTATAATCTGACACGATCTAACCGGGGGGGGGAACGGCCGTTTTAAGAGCTTACTACGAACATATTTGCCAGTTAATAGATATATTAAATTCCTAAATTCAATGGAGTAGGAAACAGTAGAATACCTCAGGTAAGCGATAGAATTGTCAACCAACAAGAATAAGGGAAAGCGTGAAAATACGGATAAAAGGAACATACTACCATATATATAGTAGATAAGAGTAAGTAATTGGCTGGTTTTCCGCAGCAATACTAATACTTCTAGGTAGTATATACGTAGCATACACCATCTTTAAATTACTAGCCTGCCTCGTGCTCCTGGTACTTATCCCACAGTACGGAGAAGATCTAGCAGTACTGTAGACCATACCCAGCCTCCGATGGATGATGCCCTCCGTACTTACTAGTACTTATACGGGGTACTGTTCAGATGAAAGTCAACACAGATACATAAAGAGTCAGGAGCAACAATATATTCTCTGGTCTTTAATAACCCACTACTGACAATGATTGCAGTATATGATTTAGAAGAAATAATGATAAGAAAGGCTTATTTCAAAAAGTTGGTGGTATTCCAGCTTAATACATGAGCCAGCCGGAGTACGTATATTCCATACTGTCCGCCACTTTCAAAACGGCTCTCCGCATCCGTCGCGCCAGCCCTTTCCCCTCCCAACCCGTTACCCAACCACTTCCGTGGCTCTCCGCCCGCAACAACCCCCCACCCCCCAAATTCATAAACTCATTCGAACTTCACCGCCGTCATCTTCCGCGCTCTCCTATTGAGCCTTGTGTCGGCGTCTCGACTATTTTTACTATCCTTGAACGCCCTGTGGCCTTCTCCCTCTCAGTTGCCTTGGGATCGAGTAACTAGAAATGCCTACTTATAGAAACCACGGTCATTGCTATTTGTATACATGACGTTTGCGGTCTCAGTCTCAACTAGAGGTTTTCCATTTTGGTCTATCCTCTACACCTAGCTGCTGACTGCTTGATTTGTTAAATTCGGCCAAACCGCATCTTTCAGCAGACTTATTATTTCCACGCATGGTGTGATCTCCTGGAAGGCCATTCATATACGGACACAGGGTTCTACACACGGCAACGTGTGACTTTTCTCACGGGTTTCTACTACTCCATCACTGCGCCGATGTTATGGCAACAATGCGCCCCATAGTGCAACATTAATGGTCTCTTTCCTAGTAGTCTGGAAAGAATAGGAGTGAAAGAGGGCAGCATCACATTTATCAGTCCGATGGCACACTTTGAAGAACACATTGTCCGAGATCCATCACCACCAAACACCCACAAAATAAAAACCAGAAGCTGCGAGCCGTCCCCTAAATACAAGTGCGATGTCCATCCTGCTCCTCTGAAACCTTCTGGCTCCGAGTTCCCTTCCAAATCGTTTCACAATGATACCTCAGTGCTGGCCTATTCGTTTGCCCGATTCAATTGTCTCCGCGGGTCTTTTTCCTCATCGAAAGATTCCATGCAGTCAGCCTTGCCAAAAATAAAGCAACACCTTTGCATTCTCCCTAGCGAGGCTTCGCAGGATTCTCCGCTCCTCACGCAACCACGGGGGTTAGAATTCCATCGCTTGGCAGATGTGCCTACTTTGACCACATTTCACGACGACATCGATAACGTGTCACACATAGCAGGAGGTCTTACGAAATCCGAGCCGTGCACCATGCCTTTACTAAACAAGACATCACGAAAAGATTCACCAACAACATCCCTGGATCTGTCACACTCATCATTAGAGCATGGCGGTTTGGGAATCATCGCGACTTGCGAAAGAGGACGTCTGAGTGACCCGGTCACCGATTTAGCTAGTCGAAAGAACATCCCTGGTCTTCACCACCGGTCAACTAGCGGGACTTCCCAATTTTCTTCTGCGAGTAGTTCTAGTATGAACAAGCCAGGTTCGCAGAATATTCACCTGGTGCGTCAAGCAACTCGCTCCTATACTCCACCATTAAGTCAATCACACCAGGTTTCGTTATTCGACAGCGATGCCTCTGGCAATAGAGACTCAGTTGAGGGGGAGCCCCTAGGCTGGTCAGGCTCAGACACGTTCTATCCGTCTGTGCGTGCATCCTCGAGGCAGACGCCACGATTATCATTACAGACGCATAATAACTCATTCACAAGGCTTCCTGGGATCTCTCAGACGAATGTAGCCGGTCGTTCGTCTTTCGGTTATTCAAGGGATAATGGCAGTATGTTAGATACAGCGTCACCAATATCCAGGTCATCCCTGGACTTTGTGTTTCGATCCAGAACCAAAACTAGTACGGATCCTATCGCTCGAGCAGCTACGGTACAAGCTGCGCGTCAGGCGTTCGAAGAGAAAGAAGCAGCCAAAAATCGAAAATTTGAGGAGCAACAGATGAAGGCAGAAGAAAAGCAAATAAGACGCAGAGAGAAGCACCATTGGCGAGCTTCTCTGAGAGACGAGGAAACACCCAGTCCAGTCTGGGAAAAGGAGCCACAGGACGCACCAAATCTACCCTGTGGCTCCAATCCTATCTCATCCACACCACAGCCCGGTTCAAATTCAGGGTCCTGGAAATCTCAACCCAAGAACACATGGATGCTTTTCTTAACGTGGCTACGAACCAGGATTTTCAAGTTACGAAGAAGGATAAGGAATTTAGGTTGACGTTGTACTGTTCTTGTATTATCTAGATAGCGCTTACGTACTAGGGCATAGATAATCCCGATACTTATCTTTTATCGGATGTCAAATCTTTTATACCAGAGAACTTGGTTAGTACCGAGCGCGGTGGATTCATTGAGGGCGCAGAAACAAAATCGTTGGTATAAGACCATGTTAGATCAAACCTCCATGCTGGCAGCTCTCATCGCTGGTACGTACTGTAAAGCATCACGTGACCACACCGGCGCAATCTGCACCGCGGACCTTTACCTCAGCGAAATAGGCTACGGTATTCCAGACAGCTCAACATACATAATCATCAAAACTACGGTGTACAAGAGCGACAAAAGACGCCTTTAGTCTTCCATACCGCACTCCACGCAACACCTTTCCCTCAGACCATTCCATCTTGTAGGTACAGGTCGTCGGGTTCGCACACCCTACAGGCGCACCTCCAACCTGGAGGGAGCGCCTCCACGAACATCTCTCGTCATGGTTTATGATTGGGATGGAAAGCGGGACATCTGCTATCAGATGTATATCAAAGACAAAAAGGCTTTGGAGGAAATCATGGAGTATATGAAGGATGTATATCAATTTGCACCCAGGTGAGTAGGCACCATTTCCACATAAGTACTAAGATCGCCATCACAGCATCCACGATTAAATTAACCAGCTACGGAATTAGTAAACGTGCATTTCAAACGCAATTTAAGCGGTGGGGCTTTCCTTCAAAGCAAAATCCAGCACACAAGAACCTAGAACTCGTTGCACGCGTCAAGCAGCTTTGGGAGCGGAATACTAGCCAGCGAGACATGCTTCGAATATTGAATGAAGAAGGTTTCGAGATCAAAGAGAGAGAGCTCATGCGGGTACGTGCTAAAAATCGCTGGTTACTCCGCGTTCCCAATGGGATGAAATCACAGTCAAATATGCAAGCATCCACACAGCCGTCAGAGGATGAAGGCTTGCTTGCGTTACAGCAAGAAGTTTACAAGAATGAGAGCTCATTCAATGACACCGAGACCCTCCTTACTGACACAGCAAGCCCACGTCCCCCATCGCCTGGTTTATCGCCAGAAGTTCTAGCCAAACGCAAGGAACGACTAGAACGATTGAAAGCAGAAAGTGCAGAACGCTGGGCTACTAGAAAGCGCCGGCGCCGTACTCGAGGATGGGCGGGGCTGCCAGCCGATCCCCCGGGACCTCCACGCTTTCCCTCTGAAACGACTATTGATGAGAGTAAAAAGCACTTGAACCTGGATAACGTCATGTATCGCCAGATCAGGGATCAGTTCCAGAGAATCTGCGAGGATGCAGGGTTCATCAAGAAAACAGTTGCCGGACCCGAAAAATGGCAGGAAGCGAAAAACAAATTGATACAAGAATCGCAACATCTTCAACATATATTTTGGGAGGATCCTAATCAACTTGATGCAAAGGCCCTTGCTCTTGATGTTGTCTGCACAGATGTCACAAAGAGGATGCGAACCTTGGAAAGGCGAATGACCATTGCGGAAGCTAAAAACGCCCTTGGCATCAATCCAGAGGAAAGTCGCCAAATACGGAATGCATTTTACAATACACTGAAAGCGGATCATTTTACAAGCAAGCTAGAGGCTGGTGATGAGCACTGGACGAACTTGAAGGAGCGATGGATCCAAAACTCTGAGCTGCTCCAACAAATCTTGGCTCCTGGACCAACGGATACAGAACACACTACCAAATTAAAAGCTCTGGAGGTTCTTTGTCGTGATGTCATGAAGCGACTTCGTGATGATCAAACTAAGAGGGACCCAGCCCCGAAACACTCTAATCAGGAACATGCTCACAGTCCTGATTTGGGAAGCTCTCATATTGGCAGCGCCTTTAGTGGCAGTATAACTAACGGAATCAGCACACTTGCTTCACAGGCCCTTGCAAGTGCTCCAGTGTCTTCTAGTGATTTAGGTGACTTGCAGATAGACCCCTCACTCCTGCAGGCAGCTAATGACCCCTCGTTTGCCACAGCCAACCATCAGGACTCAGGGCATACCTTTGGATACGTGGACCCCTTATTAGAGCCTTCTGCTATGCAAACTCCTGTGTATCTTCGCATTCATGCTCAAAGTTCATTGCATGGGGATTCCAAAACCTGGATTGAAAAGCTGACAACGCGATCCGTTACTGAACTACGCCAACTAGTCAACACCAGGTATCCAGATGCCTTCATTACGAGGATTGAGGGCACAGACAAAGATGAGAGCGGGCATGAAATATCTTTCCTTATAGATGAGGACCACGAATTTGACGCTTACTTGACTCACATGCAAGGGAGAAAGGCTTCGTTTCTATTTAGCCTGGAACAAGTCTAAGAAGCCTCTGTGTCATATCTTGAGTACTTGTAGCATATTGTTCTGAGTGTTTAACTTGGTCTTCAGGAAAGCCAAGGTGGAACCTCTGCGGTTTTTATACGTTAATCTCCAGTCAACGGCAGCAGCCGCTTCGGTGGGGTCTTATTAATAGGAATAAGCATTATGTATTACAAGATAATATTGACAGTGTCAACAGTGCTAAGATAGGTAAGATAGGACTTAGATAATTTATTGACTTTTATTTCAATCTACATAGTGTAGGGGCGCACGCCTTATCGTAGAAGGGTAGAAGCCACTACCTCGTTTACAGATACTAAGACGTCCCTTTGAAGAGCTCTGCGCCTATCCTAATGGGCTACGGGCCCGTAGGGCAGCATGTGGTTACGGCGTAGGGGCTTAGTCTACATGTTCAAGTGAAGAAAATGAAAGGAGGAAAGAAAAGCGAAGGTAAGAAAACAAAGTTATACTTCTTTTGCTAGTACTTTCAACAATATTATGTATGGCATAAGGTTCTGGTGTTCGTCCTGTTTCCCGTGTATAATTAGAGATATTATCTTTGTTACTAAGGGACATACTCAGCTCTAACAGATGTCGCATCAGACCTTGTTTGATTTTGTATACAGGGGCCTATTTAATATCCAAGGCCTACCATATTGTTCATGACCTCGGCCAGTCAAAAATGAGATATTCACGAACAAGTAGGCCAGCTATCAACGCGAGAGACATAATTGATGAACGTTTGGTTCTCACTTTTAGAAATTTATGGATTTCCCAGATTCAAAGTACTTCCCACGTAATTATGGTCGTGGTACTAGTTAGCCCTATACATGGCGCAGCTACAAGCAGTATGGGACTCCGTAGAGCTTCTCTGCAAGACCCTACAACTGTACAACACCGGGAGTTATGGAGACGTAAGTAACATCTAAAAAACCTATAGAGAACTTCTCCCTTCCCTTTGACAGGGTATAAACTAGTTATGGTAACAAGGTCACTGACGATGCAGGGTGCACCCAAGAGCCAGGTAGATACTAGTCAATATCGCAATGTATTTTCAAGAGGAATAGTTTCTAAAAAGTCAATGACTAGCCAGTGAGAGCTTGCACAACGTCCTGGAATAAGACACTAGCAGAAGGCAAAACAAATGGGGAATCATTAAAGATCCCAGCTAGTTCTTTGCTTTGTGGAGGTGATGCTTCAAAACTGTCCATGAGTGTTTGTGAAGGTTGCTGGTATCTGGACCCATACACACTGCTTCCAAGTAACTCTGCTAGTCCAGAATTGACCTTATCCACCCAGTCTTGGGACGGGAGGGCCTGAGATGTCTTCTTGCTGCAACCAAGTCTTTGTACATTTGCTGCTACATCCAGCACAATATAATCACCCGATCGTGAATCGGGCAGCAAAGCATGGGGGCTTCTCCCCAGAGGCAGCTGGCTAAGCAAGGATAATGACTGTACATCATACACCTGCACAAAGTACTTGCATCCCTTTCTGGGCGCAGTAGGACTCTGTGGACGTTGTACAGTAACAGCGAAAGTCTGTGTATTGAGATCCACTGCCAAAAGCCGGTACGCCTTATCATCATGGGAGTAACCGACTTCCAAGTTGCCCGGTGTCCTTACTATATCATCCACTGTATCCCAAACAGACACAGATTGTGTTGAAGCGATAACAAGGTGGCACCCTAGGAACCTTGCCACACAGGGGTCCCCTGGATACACCCCTGCTCTACTGTAACGGACAGTGCAGCTTTGAACATCAACAAGGACGGCAATCCCGGGACTCCCAGGATACCCTGATTGTAGGCATACAGCAAGCACGGAGCCATCTTGAGAAAACGCTATGGAAGCCATGTTCACGCTGTCAAGATTTTCGCCGTTGATGTATCCCTTCAAATCGACGGTATTCCGACATTTCCAAGTCTCGAGCTGCTCTTCACCATGCCCCGTCTTGAGTCCACTGCGCTGTCTACTGCTTGGGCACCACAAGCGTAAAACCGCGTTGCTTCCTATTGTTGCAAATTCATCACTAACTGGTCGAGATGCAAGATCCAAGACCGGAACCGGGCCCTTCCCTGAAAAATGGGGCCCATCAACACGTGTGACAAGTTCCCACAAGCCAGACTTGCTCCATCTCCAGAATTTCAAAAACACCTCTTGATAGTCTGCGGCAATGCTGCGCATACCAGTGCTATTGCAATCAAGAGCCTCAGTATCATGGGGGTTGGGGCTCCATGTATCAACTGTAGACATCCACTTCCCATCATGAGAAACATCTAGGTGAGTGACATTCGGCGCTGCAATCGGTAAACCTTCCGGGCTGATTTTCAAAGTTGTCGCGTTAGTGCGTGCGAGAGCCTGACGAGATATATGACTATTGGAATGGATATCGTAGGTCTGAAGGACACAGGAATTTGCGGGGTGGTGACCTTCATGGGTGACTTGACGTGAGGCTGGCACGGTTATCAAGAGCCTTTCACCGTATTGTGGGTGTAGTATTGCTGCAGCTGGTGTGGGTGGTGGATATACCCCTACCCTAGGTTTGTTTATCTGTGAGTACGACTGCAGACCGGTTATGGTAGCGAATGGTTGTAGCTCTCTCGCCGATAAAACTATGATAGAATTATCGGCTAGCTTGATGGCATAGGAGTTGCCAGTTGAGGAGACCACAATGTTGCAGATTGGAGAAGAAAGGTGTGGAAGAAACTGCTTCCGGCCTGTATCCAATTGCCATAACACCATAACAGATTCATGACCTCCAGATATAACATAATTACCTGCATGATATTTAGCCACTTCCCACGATTATATTGCAATGAACGTACCGTCAATTGACCAACGAACTACAGTGACAAGGTCCCTATGCCAATGCAGCCGTCTAGGAGTCATGGTCTTCTCGCCTTTGTGGTGCTCTTTACCAACAAAGTTTAGAATGTCGTGATATATCAGAATAGACCCATCTGAGCTGCCTAAGGCCAGGTCAATGCCAATCGGACCCTTCTTGTTATTCCAACTTTGTCCTTCGACCCGAGACGATGCCGTAGAATGCCGAATGTCAACACAACTAATGTTGACAGGCAAAGCCACCTCTTTCCAAGTATATTGCATGAGTTCCGGATCATTTTGGCTCAAACCTTGAGTTCCAATGAGTACACGCTGACCGCTATATGCAATGACAGCTTGGCCATCAGAAATGCACTTTATGTGGTCAAGCCGAGCGCTTGTTTCGAGGATGACAGTTTCGTGGAGGTTCTTCTCACTTAGGTGAGCGACAACGATCTCCCTTTTCCCAGCTTTGTGATCTCGCAGAATCAGTAATGCAAAATCTTCCTCGCCTTGATTAGCAGAAAAGGACGGGCTAACGGAGATTATTTTGCGGCCCATGGTCCAATGTGAGACTTGTTTTCCAGATAGCCAATCCCACTTGCTAACAGAACCAGCGGAGGTAACGATGTAAAGATACTCCTGACTCGCTGACGAAAGATTGTATCCGATGATGCTTTGATTTGGTTTCAACTGCAGTGTTCGAAAGAGACGAGAGGTTGCGACAGAATAAACATGAACGGCTGCCTCAAGCCCGACAAAAAGATACCTATAGGTTGGCTTAGAAAGCTGTGATAGACGCTTGAAGGAGAGAACATACCCCTCATCGCGGGTAAGGATTGGATCTATGTTGGTATACTGTCCCGCGACTGGTGTAGATAAGGACCAAGCTTCAGGGACTGCAATCGTGTCTTGGTCGATGCTATGCAATGAAGAACTATTTGCAACATGTACTGTCTGGTTGTGGTCATTCTTTTCTTTTGGAGCATGGGGCATTGCTGGCCCCAAGCTTTGCTTAATCTCATCCTTGTCATGGGAAGTGCGACGTCGCTTGACTCGCTCTCCCTCAGTGCGAATCAATCTATCTTGCGCTGCATCGCTGGCTCGGGATCTTTTGGAGAGACGCATTGAAGGGTTAGAGCCTGACATCGTTTATAAACAAAAAAGCCTGAGATGTTGAATAGTCCAGTGACAGTAAGCCTAGGGAAAGTGAATCATGATCTCGTATGATTATTCAATAGTACTGTAGTGCTGAAAGTGCATCTAGAAAACGCGAGACTTTTTTTTTTTTTAGGTATCCCGCATCATGGAGCGGCTGCAAATGGGCTAGCCTACTTTAGGTTAGCTTGGATTCCTTGAGTAGTAATAAGTGGGTACATCCATACTGTAATCTTTTCATCCATTGAAGGAAGTCTCAGCACTGGTTGGATGATTAACTTGAATGCTTCCATCCGTCCTTCCAAGTTCTATTATTCCGTAATAATAGGGTACAACAGAGACTGTGCGCCATCTTCATACTCAGCCATACCGTACGGCAACCGTTCTCTCAACGTATTCTGCTTCCCCAGCAGTCAGTCTAGTCGCTCCTTATAACGCGAAACATAACCAGAGATGATTATTCCTGTCCGGTGTTTTTCATGTGGCAAGGTAAGCAACATAACCTTTGTTCACTTCCTTGCTGCGGCTTATACAAGGGTCGATTAGGTCGTTGGCGATCTTTGGGAACGTTATCTACAATTACTCGATGAGGGTGTTGCGGATGGGTATGCGATACACTTTCCCTCGTTTTTTGTGGTATTTGCGCGGCTTCTAATCAGTTGATTCAAGTGATGCTATGGATCAACTCGGTTGCAAGCGGTATTGCTGCCGTAGAATGATCATGACCCATGTTGATTTGATTGAGAAACTTCTTCGGTAAGTGCCGTTCTAACCTTGAATGTGACTGTTCACTGAACTATGTTTCCTTGTAGGTATAACCCAACAGAAAGAGATCGTGCAAAATCTCAAATGTAACTTGATTAAACCTCAATTGGACCTGATTTTTCACAGCAAATCACTTTCCGAGATGGTGATGACAGATGCTCAACTCAATTTATTGGCTTGTGTGAGAAATAGGCCAATAATGAATATCCGTCGTCTCGGGCTTTATGGGTTAATTAGGCACATTAACTGCTGCAGCAATGCTTGGTTATATCAAGCTTGTGCGTGCTATTGTCATTTTTCGAAAGTGACCGTCCATTTTCAGTATCGACAATTTTGGGGCTATCGAACAACCCCGCTCTTTGCAGGGCCATATTGTTTTGCAGGCAGAATCACTTTTGTTACCTTTTTGGGCACATGGAAGGGGAAATCTGCTGCTTTCTTGCGAGTCTTGGCATGTCTCGAGTGTTCGTTCCCCTCTTTTCTTCCTCTCTCCTCTCATTTGCTTAGTCTTCAAGGTAGGTGAAACGCTAAAATGCAAAATAAAAGAAGGGCTCGGATTCCATTATGAATCTTAATCCATCTGTAACTATATTGTCATTGGTATTTGGAATCAGTCATGGCTGTCGTAGTCGACCTAGAATAGATGAGTTAGATTTCAATGTAAGCTCCCTTCCGGTGTATGTGATAAATCTATATGGCAGTAAACCTTTGGGGCGCTGGAGGCCAGTAGGCTACAAATGTAGGAAGTTTGTCGTGTTGCTTGTTCCTCTAATTATTTATTTGCTCTGTTGGTCCTTAGAGCTAGACTTCCACATAACCAAACCCGGATGCAATTGGGATCCTAATAAAATCTATTAAAATTTAACTTAACTCAGTTTTTATATAATTTTAATTATAAAGCTACTTAATTATCAAAATAATATACTATTCTTTATATCTATTCTAAATTATATTAATTATTACTATATATTTATAGTATAAATCTCTTGAAGTTTTATAAAATATTTTTATATTATTTTCAAATTTAATTTAGTTTATAATAAATTATTTATTAAAATATTAAAATTAGATATATTAAAAAATTTAAACTGAAAAACTTAATATTTTTACTAGTAATTATATAAATATATATTTATCATATATAATAATAATATTTAGTAGGGTTCTCTAAACTAAAAAATATTATTTTAAAGGTTTACTAATTTCTATAGAAAATATAATAAAATAACTTAATTTAAAGAAAAAAAATTTATTTAATTATAGAAATTAAACTAGAGAAATAATAAAGAAAATTTAAAAAAAATTTAAAAAATAATATATTTAAAAATTTATTTAATATTTCTATCAGAAAACTATTCTCTAAATAAAATTATAATAAAAATAGTTAGTTATCTCTATAAACTCTTTATAGTAAAATAGATTAAATTTTTTAAAAATTTTTTTAAAAAAAAAGTTAAAATAAAGTAGAATTTTTTTTAAAATTTTGTAAATTATTACTGGAATATTACTAAATTTTTTAGATTTTTTAGATTAGATCTATAGAAAGATAAATTTATAAATTAATTGAATTCTATTATATTTATATATTATTTTTCTAAGATTAATGGTAGGGCAATGGGTGATGAGCTGTTGATTGTATTGGCCTCGGTGAGGCCGAACACTATGTAATAACTACGGTGGGCGAAAGCTACCAATAACACAGGATGGAAGAGAACCATAACAATCTCCACTACTAGAAAAAAGTGTCAATCTGAAAATAAAATAAAATAAAGTATAATAAAAAATAAAAAATAAAATAATAAAGTAAAAAGTATAATTTTAAAATAAGTATTAATCTAATAATAGAATAGTAAAGTAAAGAGTACAGGTATTAATTAAAACAAGTATCAATCCAAAAATAAAATAGTAAAGTAAAATGTATAATTATTAATTGCAAATAAAATAATAAAATAGAAACAAAATAAAAAAATCAGTACTAAATATAAACTAGATTTACTTATAGAATTATTAAATTATATTTTTTTTATATTTTTTTATTATCTTTAAATTTTAATATATTCTATAAATTTTTAATATTATATTATATATTATTTTCTTATCTATAGCTTTTCTATCTAATTAGATATTCTATTTTCTATTTCTAATATTTAATTATTAATTAGATATTGTCAGAGTGAAATTTTCTTACTAGGTAATACTGAGTGAAATGGAAAGGATATTTCCTACTTAGGAAATATTCTAGAAAGCTTCTATAGTACCTATTTTAGACTAGATTGAAACCTTGCTTTTAATCAAGATCTAGAAGATATTTATAATTCATGACTTTGAATGATTTCTAATAAATTATTAGAAATCATTAGAAATCAAGAATTAGTCATTATTAGTTATAATGACAAATTCACTAATTCTATATTGATTTGAAATCATTCACTGAAAATAAGGCCTAAAAAATGTCTATAATTAAGGCCTAAAAGTGCCTACTAAATGATCTTTTTGATATTCAAGCAGATTATCAACTATCTGATTATCAGATAGTCAGGTTTCCTATTCATTCATTTGATCTCTTCAAGTCTATCCTATCTTATCTAGCTATTCAATCTATATTATTATTCTATTCATATCCTCTCAAGCCAGCCCTAAGACTATTCCGCTTTAGGATTAGGGTAGCTGACAATTCTTCTAGTAATTACTATTTAATTAATTACTATTCTATATTTTATAAAGTTTTCTTATAGAATAGTTAAAAATATAGTCTATTAACTATTTAATTTTTATTTTTAATCTAATTTATCTTTATAAATTAAAGAATAAATATCTAATTTAGTAAAGTTTTATAGAACTGGTAAAAGATTTAATAATTATTCTATATTTAAACTATCTATTTACTTTTTAATTATAGTTATAGAAATAAATAATAATTTTAAAACTAATAATATAGTAAATAATATAATAAATATTTAATAGTTACTTGAAAAATTACTTAAAAACTAGATCTAAATAGAGTATTATCTTCATAAATTGTTAGTAGGGACTTCTGTCTGGCGGCCTGGAGGCCCGGAAGTACGGGTTCTTCTGGCCCGCTAAGCGGGCCCACAACACCTAGCTAGGAAGATCGAAAGCTTAGATAGAGAACAAGAATTGAAAAAATAAATACAAAAAATTTTTCTATCTAAATATTAATAGATTATAAGTCCAGAGAGATTTTTCTAGATTATTAGAAATAAAAGATCTTCCAAAGATATTAAATATTTACTATTATCAAAAGATTACTTATCTAATTAAAACTATAAGATAGATAAAAATCAGAAATTTAAGTTAAAATTAGACTATACTATATATATACTCGAGTATAATAAAAATTTTCTTAGAGAATCTATTCTTATTATTTAAATTATTTAAGAATTATAAATTAATAGAATTTTTAAATAATATATATCTATATATTATAAATAGATTAAAATCTATAGCTAGAAAAATATTACTATTTAATTCTAAATAGATAGTTATACAGCCTTAGAATCTAACTAGAGATATAAACTAAATAATAAAATTTAATAAATTTCTAATAAGTATATATAATATATAATAAATATTAAAAATTATAATAACTATAAAATATAGATATTCTATATAAAAAATATATTATATATTTCTAGTCTTATTAATATTATTAAGAAAAATATCTTTTACTCTCTCTCTACAGATTTAGTATATATGTACTAAATAGGAATTAGTTATATAATATAAATATAGCTTATAATATAGTTATTACTAAATATAGTTGAGCTAGTAATAAATTTATTAAATATAAAAAAATATATAGATAATATCTTTATAATAATAAAAAAAATTATAATAGATAATAGTTATATTCTAGTAAAGATTATAATAATTAAGATCTTTAAAATAAACTATAAAAAGTTTTTCTTAGTTAAAACTTTTATTAAAGTATTTTATAATAAAATATTAGTATATAATAATTAAGATTTTAATATATCTTTATATTTTATTTTATAGTAGTTAATATATTATCTCAGAGATAATTTCCTAGACTAGTTAGAGATATATAAATTAATTTTTATAAAAAATACTATAATAATATTTATTAATAAAAATCTATATAAATTTATTAGTCTCTAAGAAAAATTATAAAATAGAGATTAATTAATTTTTTATTTGAAATATAGTAATTAAAATAAATTTTTTTTATTTTTTAGTCTTTATCTCTAGTATCTTAGAATAGTAGTAGATAATAAATTAAATAAAAAAAATATATATATTAAATAATTTAATATAA